TCGACCAGCTGCCGATGGAAAATTTTGCAAAATGGTTCCACCGGCAAAGTATACGATTTCGGTACGAGGTTATTAGTGCTCTTACTTGTACAAAACTTCCAAATAAAGTTTCTTCGTTGAAGCCAGCTGACGCCGCTTCGACATTGACGCCACGATCACTGGATATCGACCTAACTGCATCATCTGTGCGCGATTTACGCTTTACGCACTTCAAGACGGACGCCGTGGTGCTTGTCACTTGTATAGGTAAGTAATGATTTTGGTAAGTGTTCCTTTTTCATGTGTGACTTTTTGGGGTTGTCGCATTGGGTTCTTCCTCCATATGTTCGACTTGATAAAGAATTTTTGCTGCGAAAAACAGGTCTCTTGAAGGATTGATTGAAAAGGTTTTTAATCTCTCTGGAAGTAATCTGTTAGGAACATGCTCTAAGCTATTCAGTAAGATCTTTTCCTCTGCGGATGAAGGGGTGTGTCAGGCGGAGTTGGCGCGGCGCGGTGCCGAACTCCTATTCCACCAGTTGTTAAAGCAAGCTGCCAAACCCTATTCCACCAGTTGTTGAAGCAAGCAAGTGACAATACTGCACCATATCCTTCGTATCAGTCATTTGCACAAGTTGCTATCGCTTACCCGCTTCATCAACAAATAACAAAAGGTTTGGCGCCACACAAACGCACCGATCACGCCCCCTCATCCGCAGCCAATCTGAGTATCTTTATTATATGGTACCCAAAAAGTCAGGTAGTGCACGTGACGACGAAACTGATCCTGCTCGTCTGCTCTGTCTCATCAGGACAGTGGTCCCGTCATCTAGCGGGTCCTAAAAAAAGGCATGTCGTGCATTAGGGCACCCCACCTCGCGAGAGGTGATCGTATTAGGTCGCTAATTTTATCCTTGAAGAAAATATTTCTTTTCGCTTGTTTTCTGTTTTTTCTTTTTTTTTTTGCTTTCTTTTCGCCGTTTTTTTTCTGTTTCGTATGCCCCCGCTCCGCTCAACGGCAGATTTTTGTTAAAAGAAAACGGAACATTTTTTGTAAACTACGGAAAATGAACGAAAATTCGGGAAACTGGGGAGGCGGGGATGTCGTAGGAGAGGAGGATGTTCAGGGATGGGTCGCATTTTGAAAATTTTTCCCTAATGACGGGACGTGCCCTGCTTAAAAAGAGCAGACGAGCAGAACGGCAACTGCTTAGTGTCAACCCTCTCCGCTAAAGTGCTCTACATCACCACCTAATACTCTACTCCCTGATTGACTTAATACCTAATTGTTTAACACTTCGCTTAAGGAAGCGGCATAGAAGTATGAAAGCCTAGCAAATTCACTTGGATGTCAGTGTTCCGTTCTTTTACAAAGCTGCCAATACTTGGACGTGCTTGCAGGGACGTGCGAAACCTTGTCGATATCCTTGTTGCATGGAGGGAATGTTATCAACACAGTTCGTGGCAAGGATGAATTTATCTTCAAGAGTATCGGCCCTGGAAATTATAGAGGTTTGCTTCGCTTCTGAAGTCTGTCTTACTAGCTTGCACATGAAACTGTTCAGTTCGAATCGACGAAGGGGACCGAGGTTGCTGGGAACAACGTGAGCTCCCGTTGGTCATTGAAAAAGTTCGTCCTCAACCAGTGCATTTCGTACAGAGTGGCTTTGCAAGCAGTATCAAGCTCAGCCATCCAGCGCAACTGGTCAGTTTTACTTGTTCATCAAAGAGGTCGTTGGGGATTGTGAGGAGGACAAAGCAGAGATGATAATGGCGCGCGACTACTTTTCTTGCCTTCTATAGTGATGAAGAAGGCAGGACGAGGAATGGCACGTCAATGTAATTTTTCCCTGACCCCACAAGTCCTGAAATCCCGACTGCTCTCTTGAAGGAAAACGAAATTATGCTAGCGCGTAAATTGAGAGTAGAGTACCGTAGACCAATGTTTCAACCTTTGCTTTAGGAGTTGAAATTTTTTCAGAAATGGTCTCATATCGATAAGAAACAACTTCGTGGAGATGTTAACGCGCCTGCTGGTTTGTCATCAATTTGTGTGCCAGTGCAAGGTCGATATCATGTGCAACTGATTTCCTGCATGAATTTTGAACCGCAACAGTTTGATATAAATGGTGAGCTTGTTTTTTTTTGTTTTATTACTTGCTTAATACCCGGTTTCCAAATTTCCTAAATCCTGTTTTTTTTTTTTTTGTTTATATTACCTGCTTAATACCCGGTTTCCAAATTCCTAAATAATCATACGTTCGCGGCGTGGCCTTTCTGCTCAACTGTTGATCACTTTCGAGCGAGTGTCACTACTTTTGCTCGAATGGCCAACTGCTGTGCTAGCTGGCGCCCGCGTCTGGCACCAGGCCTGAGCGCCAACTTCCTCTATTGAACTTGAAAATAAAAGGACGGGGTTAAGCGCACTGCAATGCCTACAAGTTTATGAAGGGTCATGTACAGTGGGAAATTTGATGGAAACGCATGCTTATAGGCACATGAGTCAATGAGTCAATGCTCTCATGAGTCAATTTGGTCTTTCTTGATGCTTGCCCAAGCATGTAGGTTCAAGTGCTGTATAGGCCAGTGGGTGTCGTATCAGAGCTCCAAACCGTTGACAGCACCTAGGACATCGCCTTTGTTTTATTTCATCCATTCCAAACCTAAAACATGTCATCACAGCTGCAGGCAGGCGGTTGGAACGCACATTGCGCGATTACCTGATTGATGGAATTCTATCCTTGTCCAGTAGTGCGTTCCGCCATCTCGGTGGATGTCCCGCTCTTGCGGCTCGACAGTAAGTGCTAAGAACGCTAGAAACATCTTGAACCGAAGGTACGCTACCCTCTGAGAATGCCCACCCATTCGAAGACGAGTTATGTCACTGGTTCCAGTAGAGTGTCCCATGGGTCCTCGCCGAAATTTGACTTCTTGTTCGAATAAAAATTTAGGCACTATTTACCCTTTACTGCCTCTGCCTCTGCCCCAGCAATCCGAAATCAGGCCAGTTCTGACCGACTTTTTTCTTCATGGGCAGAATTTGCTGAAAACTTGGCTCCAGAGGTAGCTTGACCCCTGAACACGAATATCACATCCGCTAGGCTCGAAACCTCCTGGCGCCCGCGCCACGGCGCCGGCGCCAAAATACTCGAAATCACCAAGTTCGCTGAAAACTTGTCAACTGGGGTAACTTGACCTCGTGAACACGAATATCACATTTATCTTGCATGAGAAATAGTATTCGCTCTTATTTGTGGCCCTAAAGAGGGCCGTTGGGTTAGTATAATATTACAATTCTTGGAATTT